GGCAAATTGAAAAGGTGTCAAATAGACAGGAAAACGGGCCCACATGCATTGAATAGTTGGCAGTCATTGAGTGGGTCACTAATACACGTGGCAGCGCTTGCATTTCACGCTTTTGGCTCCAAAAATCGCGTGTTTATTTATTTAAAGGTAGGATAGTTAAAGTGCCTATTTGTGCATTATGAAAATTGGAGGTCAAAGTTAAAATTTGAAGCCAAGTTTAGGGGCCAATATATGTATTATGCCTAAAAAGAATACACCCTTAATTATAAAATTGACTAAAAGTGCATAAAGTAAAAATAACTAATTATTGTACAAATACAATATTCAAATGAGGATACTAAAATACCACATGTTAAGATTAATGTATACAAAACAACTAACCAATGTAAATTCTCAATATTAATAATCATAAAACAATAAAAAGTTATACAATAACAACAAAAAGAAACATAAACATTAAAAAAAAAACAAATAAAAAGAGACAAGATAAGAGAGCATAGAGAAATTGATATTAACATATGACAATATAATGGAAGTATCAACTCCAACAACAATCTTTTGTCACAATCTACATATAATTAATATTGTTATTCTAATAATATAGCTTTTTGTCATGCTTTCCCTATTAAAAAAATGAAATATTAGAAAGACCCAAATAGGATAAGACAATAATCTAAAATATTAACTAAGTACTATATACATGCAAAAAAATATGAACAACAAATTTATAAGTTATACATACTATTTACTTACCATTAAAAGAAATCTGGACAAATAGACATTATCCAACTACTTGAACTTTATCTCTTGTGTGTATTTTGCAATTACATATATAGTTAAGGAAGAAGTTGAGGGGTCACATTAGTATATGACAGGACATTAAGAGAATCAATATACTTATTGGAGAGAAGTTTGATGGTCACATTACAAGTACGTCAGTTGGTGAAACTGATAATAACTCATCAAAAAAATTGATTAACAACTGGAAGAGAATTAAATGAGAGTAAAAGGAATAACGGATATAAGTTAATTTTTGTATGTTCTTTTAAAATGATTATTTAACTTTTAAAGGATGTTATCTATTATTTATTGTTTTATATTATTTTGATTTATTTTAGGGATAAAATGGCAATTCAACTCTGTATTTTGAACCTTTCCACTTTTAATATAGATATAATACATAAACATGACCCTTAACTTGGCTTCAGCGGACAACTATGCCCTTCAACTTTGAGTGTGTACAAGTAGACACTTAAACTTGTATGAAATTGAACAAGTAGACACACGTGTCCTACATGACATAATACACGTAGGACACCACGTAGGACACAAAATTGCCATGCAGGGTGTCATGTAGGACGAATGTGTCTATTTATTCAATTTTATACAAGTTTAAGTGCCTACTTGTGCACACACAAAGTTAAGAGTCATGTTTAAGTATTATGCCTTTAATATAAAATGATGATATATGATGATGTTGTGCTCATCATCAAACACATAGCTTTATATTTAAGCTTTATAGAGAATCTAAATTTTTTAAGAGATAATTAGGGATAACGATCACAAGTTTTAGGAAATAAGTGCAACTTCCATTGTCAGAATAATTAGATGTTATATAATTCTATATTTCTTGGATAGCGACCAGACAACTACACAGGGCAATGCTTGATGTATGAGCTTCAGATATACATTTGCAGGGTGTTTATCCGACGAGTAATAAAATCACAGTCTTCAGATATCTTCTCTTGCATAACTTTTGCAATTTTAAACTTTATTTTGAACTGTACATGTTGTTGCTAACTTGAACATGTTATGTGCTTAATCAGATGTGGATTTTGAAAGGCGAGTACGACAAGTCTGGTCCATCCATTGTCCACAAGAAGTGCTTCTAAGGTGCTGCTGCTATTTTTTACATCTGTTCACGAGTTCTTTTTTATTTTTTTTGTTCTTTCCGCTAAAGTTATTATGTCATCCACAGTGAACTCAGGTCTTCTGTTATAGGCAAGTCTTCGAGATGGGGCTTTACTGCTGATACTATTTCATGTTTCCAGTGCAAGCCTCTTTTGTAAGTAGACAAACTCGATTTGTAAATATGTTTGCGACTCAACTAGTGGTTAGAGTATTGATTTTGTAAGATTTGTGTCCAGAAAATTAAATTAGAAAGATAACTCACGATGATTGAATAAGCTTGAAGAAGTGGATTTGAATTTCAAATCGTGTCTTCTTTTTTATGTGTGTATGTGTGTGAGAAATTTGAAGTGTTGTTTAGATTTGTTGGAATAGTCTAAAGAGATTGTCTCTATAAAATTTGAAGTCATTTGATGGAGATCTGATTAGAAGATTTTGAACAACAATTGCAATTGAAGATAGGTATGTATATTATTTTTATAGTTAGCAACGTGTTATATATTTTATAGTGGATATATTATTCGGTGTTGGGTATCCACATTGGAGTCCAACTAAATTCGGATTTGCACATTTCAACGGGGGGCGCTCTTGACATGATTTTTTCCATTCCATGGCTTATGCTCCTAAATTCTAATTAAGGGTAGAAAATCTCAACTATTTCACCACAATTCATATGAGTTATATTGGATATACAAGTGCAAATATTTTTGAAAAAACCCAAATAACTAAATCTTACACTCATTAACTACAACAACTAAAAAATATTTATAGCCCTCAAATGTAAGTAGAAGAACTCAAATTTTGGCCATGAAATGACACCATTTTCTCACACTCAAAATGATGTTAAATTTCATGAATGAAACAATATATATTACTTAGGTTGAAGCCCCATTTTCTTCCTTGTTTTCCCAACGTATAAATCCTTAGACTTGATCATCCCGGGGACTAATCCAATGATCGTCATGAACGAAAATTGAGCCACTGCATCTTGCCTTCCTAATGAAACGATGATCTTAGGTGATGGTCGAGGCTCATATATTGCAAGTTTGCTTTCTTTTCCTCCGCTCATCAAAAGTTTCAAGTTCTTCGCGGCCACTAGAGCATGTTTTTTAGCCGAATATCCTTGTTTAAGTTCCTGATAGCAAGAAGCATCAGAATTCAATTGAAACATTTTCAAGAAATAAGAGATATGCAGTTTAGTGCTTACCTTAATATCAGTTATATCACCAACAACAAATATGTTTCTGTGACCCTTGATTCTAAGATTTTCATCAACCTTCAATCTTCCAAAATTATCGATTTGATCCTTCAAATATGTCTCCCTTAACCACTCTAAACCCGGTGGCTTTCCCGTGCAAAGAAAATGGCAATCCGCTCTGATAGTTTCCCCAGACGAAGTGAAATATGTTATGTTTCCACCCGAGTTGTTTGTGTTATTACTCAAATTGACAGATTGCATCAATTTCACTTCCACATTCTTGTTTTTGAACCATTCTAAAGTCTTGTCAGACGCTTTTGGACCGATGAAATCCAGTAGTCTGGATCCGTCATGCACCAAAGTTACCTTCTTTTGAGGAAAATCAACAGCGATTTCTGCAGCAAGTTCAACACCAGTAGGACCACCACCAACAATCAATATAGAATCAACTGCTTTTATCTTTTCATTCTCTGCAACAACAAGAATGATGCAAAAATTAGTCGAACATCACAACATTTTGACTAGTAATATCCTCACTAGTACATCTCAACATTAACAACAAGATAATTGACTGAATCCCATGAAAACTTGCTAGAGGAACCGCTCAACGTATACAAAACACCCATGCTTTAGCTTTGTTTTACCATTTTCCAAAAAGGACACCAAAAACAGTCGAGCCTCGCGCCATTTTGACTAGTAATATCAAGTAGTAATCTACAACGTTAACATGATGATCACAAAAGAGAAGATTTAATCACTAGTACATCTCGTAAGAGAGTAAAGCAGTCACGATCAAGACAATTGGCTGAACCTCATGAAATTAAACTTGCCAGAGAAGCCGATTTACAAATAAAGAATCTTTGCTCAACGGATACAAACCACTAATGCTTTAGCTTCTTTTTATCATTTTCCAAAAAGTTGATAAAACTTAGTGAGTATAAACATTCCATATGATTGTAATTTATATGTACAAGTAATTTGCTCGTTGGAAAGCAGACAAGATAGTAAATCGAACGAATAAAGCACATGAATGATATCTTAAAGAAGTCTTTGATGCTATGTAATATGTATATATATACCTGTTTGATATTTTTCCAATCTGTCTGTTCTCGTTACAGGTAGGGGATCGTAGTGACCTGTGGCTACCACAAGATAGTCATAGGTAACTTGATGTCCGTCTGCAGTCAAGACTTTTTTGTTGGTGATATTAGTGACTTCAGACACTATGAGACGCCCATTGGCGAGGTAATCTTTGTGGTGGATCAAAGATCTCTCCGCGAATGAAGGCTCTACCGTTGCTCTTAAACTCACCCATGGTATCTCGAAATAGTCCTTCTTGTCAACAGTTTTTTACTAATTAAGACACATTGAAGTACACCACAATGATTGATTTCTCAGATGATCACTCAACTAATAGTTTTTTTTATCTCAGAAAGTCATTTTTCTTCGAGATTCCAACTTTCTTAAGCAAAAAAAGTGACTTTCTGAGATAGTAATTAACTACGGAGGCCTTTTTTTCAATTTGTTCTATTTTGAAGAATCCAAGCTTGATGGACAAAGTTAAACCATACTTGTACTAGTGGAAGTACCAAATACCATGTGAAATCAATTGAGGTGTAGACAAGCTGACTCAGACATCACGATTATCAAAATAATAATTACTCCCTCCGTCCCATTTTATGTGGCAACATTTGACCGGGCACGAAGTTTAAGAAATAAAGGAAGACTTTGAAATGTTTACCAAATTGTCCTTTAAAAAATACTCATTTTTCTCTCTCCTCATAAATTTATTGGAGTATTATTTTAAGATTAAGTGGGACCAACAAGGATAAAAGAGGAATTGTACCTTTAAATACTTACCATATTAGGAAATGTGACATCTTTTTTTAGACTGACCAAAAAGGAAATGGTGCCACATAAAATGGGACGGAGGGAGTATTATAATTAGCAAAACTTATTGAACTTACGGATCAATAAGAGTTAAATCTGCATCAAATTGAAGAGACTTTGCAATGAGGGAACCAGCAACTCCGCCACCGATCACCACCACTCTCCTCCCTCTTCTGCCATCGCCCCACTCCGGTGGATTCTCCATTATACTCGCAATTATTTTCTTCACAAAAGAAGAAGAAGAAGAAGAAGAAAAATTGTGGAAAAATTAAGAAAGAAAAAAAAGGCAATTCAAGAATTGACAAAATAAATAAAGAAGAAAGAAAAAATATGGAAATTGTCAACTACGCGGGAGTAACAGCCATGATGAAAAGGACAAGGAGTAACAGCCATGATGAAAAGGACAAGGAAAATAACATCTTGTTTGAATGGTTGGTACCAGTATTATTTATGTTGTATCGTTAGTTTAAATATAATATTTGTTAATATATAATATCTATTTTGTTTTATAAATGATTTGATGTGATTGTATCGTTATCTTATTTTATTTATTTTGTCTTTATTTATTATTTATTTTACTGTGATTTATGTGACACAATTTGAATTTTGAGAGTCAAAGATCTTGAATTTGGGTTTATTTTTTTTTGAAATAAAATTCTACTTATTTGGAAACTGTGTATAAAGTATTACTCGTATAAGTTACGGACAATTCAAAATATATGAAAAAATTACGATCAAAGAAAGATTCGTTTTGATCTCGATATTAGAAAAATATCACATAAATTGAGACGATAATAATCATATTTTATCATTTAATATATCCTTTTACGATAGCTCTACATCGTACTTTACTTTTTTCATAGGTTGATTCTTTAAATTGTTAGTATCGAAAATTATATAATAATAAAAAATAATACAATCGATTTAAATATTATATTTATATTATAATACAAGACAATATAATACGATGTATTATGGTAAAATAATAGGTTGTACCATCCAAATTAGAAAAGTGTCAGCACAGAATGATTCCACTTAAAGGAAAGGAAATTCAATATATAATATTATCGAAGAAACCTTCAAACTTTCTAGTACGTGTATTTCATTTTATATGATATTATTATTTTTATTAATATATTTTAAATAATATTAATTTTTATATTTAAAAATAAATTTCAACATGTTCATCTTTTCTTAATAAAAAAGTTTTTATAGACATGTAAATATTTGTCATTTTTATGATAAAACTTTCTAAGTCATACTATACGAAAATGTCAGTATTTAATTAAAATACATCTCATAAATTGATACGAAAAAAAAAGATACTAATATAATCCCATAAATTGATACGAAAAAAAGATATTAATATAATTTAATTTTCTTGAATTGATGTACCTAGGATATGTCATTTTATATCGTGTCTCATCACGTATACAGTTGAATAAATATCAAGAGGCCACTTGTTATTACTCATTTTAGACTCTACCACCACCCAAGGAGCGGAGCTAGGTATGGTCGATGGGGTTTATTTGAATTTTTTTCGATGAAAATTATATTATTGTTAATTTATACACGAAAAATTACTTTTTATGTATATTATATAATAGATATTGAACTTTCATCGATGTTTTCATGTGTTAGCTTTTTCTTCATTTTTTAATCCTTTTAGTGAAAAATATTGACTATGTCACTGTCATGCACCGACCACCTTCAATTCCTTCATCACCAATCTCCATTATTAGCGCAGATACCAATTACCTTTATCGCCTTCATCTTTTCCAATCAATCACCACTATTATCAAATATCATAACCAATTAACCATCGATCACTATCAATTGCCTCCGCCAACCACAATTATCATTGGCGAATATCTCACACGTCTTTACTAATTACTACCATTACGACTCATTTTAAAATGTATTTTACTAAACTAACCGTTTGTTTTTTTTTTTTTTTTGCAATTCTCAATTTCTCTGAATATAATATTTGATTATTATTTAACTTTTATTTTTCATAAATATCCTAATTATTGAACATTACACCATACACCATTCCTTTATGGGCCAGGCTAATTATTGAATATTCTTGTTCCCATCTTCTTGTTTCATATCAGCATGGTAGTATACTCATATGAGTTGGGCATAAATATCACACCATTTCATACTAGGCCATATTATTTAAGTTGTACTCAAATTTTAATTATTTTTTTAATGTGTCTATCTATATCTATTTCAAAATAATTTTAGATAAAAATGTTTGAAGTTACATAAAAATGATTAAGCATCAATTATGCGTGCATGAACATCAAAAAAATTGTCTGAACTAGCATCAGGTAAAAGGGTTGAACTTCAACCATTTATGACTCAAGTTCAGACACATATGACTTTGATAAGTTTGACTTCAGATATTGTACGTCTGAATTTATTCTGAAGTAACTTATAAACTTTACCCTCCTATGTAGTTTGTGAGCTATTGCATAGGAGCGGAGGTTTAACCCTGTGCGCACCCAAAGGATAGCGACTACGGGTTTCCCTTGTCATAAAAAAAAAGTAACTTATAAACTTTACACGCGGTAAGTTTAGCTTAAATGGTGATACCAAAATAGAGTATCTCCGCACTTCGGCCACTTCTTCCATGGGCTTCCCATCCCTATAAGGCTTGACTTACCAACAAGGATTTGTGGTGAGCGGTAAGTATATACCCTTTCATTTGAATTCGAGTCCCTTTGAATATGGGGTCGTCTATGTTAGGGAGCATTTCACCCCAGTGGGACTTCCTGGCATGAATCCTCTAGATCCAATATGGGACTTCCCGATGTAAATCTGAATTTTGTCGGACTCTAATGTGGATATCAGACACCGAATTGAAAAAAAAAAGGCTTGACTTACTAGAGTGATACATAAAAATCTTATTCATCATTTTCATTCAAGTGTTCCTTTTTTGTGTCAAATGTTTATATAAAATCAAGATATACATAATATGTGTTTGTGTATATACTTCTTTCACTTAATTATGGTTAACTAATTAAACAAAATCTAAATTAACAAGTAGATCGAAAAGCTAAACAAATGCTATATTTAATAACTTGGTTCAATTTTTTTGTAAAATACTCACATTAGTTAATACTTTAGTATCGTGTATATATATATATGTAAAGTACAACAAATACCTTATTTTTTGCCATGTTGTTAGTATAAGTTTAATTTATATTTGTAGTCTACTCCTTATTAAACTGAAAAAAGGAGACAAACTTATCTACATGACATATATTGTTTTAAAGATTAATACAAAACAAATGATAAAACTAATAAACAATTAGTGATTATCATATATATGCTTGTAATTAGAGATCAGAGCATGTGGGGTGTTTAATTAGCACTTATATAGACCACTAAGTTGCCAATGGAATGATTTGGATTTCTTTATTCTTAATTCGAGATTTCGGATTTTAATAAGAGAATAAAAAGAAATTGATTAAAAAAACCTTTTCATTGTTTTTAATCAAAGGTTTCGAGTTCGAGTATTAAAAGGAAAACTTCTTAGTAGGAAGCTTTTTCTCTACTTCTACTTTTAAGCCAGGTTTATTTTCATTAAGATTAATACGTAAATATGAACGATCATTTGAATGATTAAGATGTTACTTCTAGATCTGAACACTAAATAATTAAGATTGATTATTTTTTAGAATTTGATATTTAACAAATTGATTCATGATAAATCTTGTGAAGTTTTTTTTTTTTTT